TGATAAAATCAACTGGTGGGCAAGTGACTGGATTACTTAGCATCACTGGAGCTGGCACACGCTGGCGAACACACGGCTTCACAGATGTACAAGCACTCTGTTGATAATATATGCATGTGTCCCCATGCTTTAGACACACAATAGGAAGTCTAGATGCTGACAGAAGAGTAGTAATTAGGACTATGTGCTGTGGATATTCTGGGTACAGTACTGATCAGTGTCATCTGTCTTTGTGTGGGAAAAAAAAGTCTGCTGCTGCCGCCGCTGCTGTAGCCCACAGTTTCCATGGTAACCCATCAGAACCCGTCCTGGTCTCTATGGTAACTTCTGGTTGGCACCCACAGAGGATGAGGAGAAGGAGAGAGGAGGTGAAAAAAGAAGGAAGGAGTGGGACAAACTGGGATTGAGGAAAGAGTGGAGTGAATAGTGAGGTCAGTTGTGTGTGACTTGACAAATCTGCTTTTATGTCTTCTCTTTTTGACCATGCTCAGGGCCTTGTATGAGTTGGTGAGAGTATACAGTGGTCGATAATAMCAGAATATTAAGGTTTAAATTCATTGTTTGCCTGGGCTGTGTGCATTTATTTTCTGCAAGTAGTTTCTTGCAAATTTTCAAAGACATGCAGGTTTCCTTAACTTAAGATTTTCAAACGGACTGTGAGTGTGATCGGCTTTCTGCCGGACTGGCAAACTGTCCAGGTGTATTCCGCCTCTCACTTTACGAAGGCTTGACGGGACGACAATCTGCTGCAAATCTCGAAACGACAAAGCAAGATCAGACAGTCCAGTCTCACCAGGAAATGTGTCATAAAAACATTTATCCACATTTCCAAAACTTGGCAGTGTGACTTTTTCTCTATTAGAAATTGTTTGATGGAAATGCCTTGTTGTTTTTAATGAGACAGTGTCCATGTTACATGACAAGAACTGACTGATGTCCATAAAATGTGTGAATTTATATGTTTTAATTCCAAACCCAATCGGATAAGTATAACATTAAAAAGAAAAAATATATATATAATTATATAATGCTCCTCTATGTCTAAAACAGTGGTGACCAGTCATCTTTAAAGTTGAAGTGACATACCTATCTTTTAAATACAAAAAGTCAAAGAAAACATCTTTACACTTAAGAAAATTGGCATAATGCACATGATTTTGCTCATTTTGTCACATAACTGGCCCATATTCTTTTGAATTTGGCACAGCCAAAGTGAAACAGGAAGTGACACCAAAGAGGAACTCATTAATAAAATTAATTCTCTGGTCTTTGTTTAGTAAAACAATATTATTTAGACTTTAACTCTTCTTCATTTCTCTTTGGTGGCGACTCAAAATAATCTAAAGAAACATCAGATTCTACTCTACAGTCTGTTGTTAGCTGTTGTAACGATGCTCTGTTCACATGCAGACCTTCCCCTTTGACATCACTTCCTGTTTCTTCACATGCAAATACAATATCTCAACAACTGTTCATCTCAGCGGCATGAAATTTGTTTTGCAGTACGTTAATCAATACTATTTCTCCAAAAACACATTCATGTTTATTACAAAAATTTGATGTCACAGGCGCTTTAAGGGCCACTTTGAACATTTTAGGTGTTCCTCTGCTTTGACACACCTGATATGAATAAATGAGTGATTATCAGGCTTTTGCAGAGTTTCAAGACCCCCTGAAGAGCAGGGGAACAAATAAAGCATGCAGGATAGTGGCCCTTGAGGACCAGGATTGGGCACCACTGGCAAAGACTGTGGTGCAACATTGCAACAGATTTTGTTAGTTTAGGTGAAATCAAAATCCATGACATCTGCCGTGCTTTTTGGTACCAAGATAAGTACAAAACTTCCATTTACTTATTTATTTTCCTTTGTATTTAATTTGAACCATCTCCCTATGATGTGCCATTTCTTATTCAGCAAAAAATAAAATACAATAAAATAAAAAAAGAGAACTCAAACACTTTGTGTCAGGGTTCAGGGCAGCCTTTCTCCAACACTGCAGAGCTGTGCAGCACACACGGAGAAAATTAAATGTTGTCTYGACTACAAAAGAGTCTTACATCGCAGGGTGGAAGCACAAAATAAAAACAGATCTTTGACACCCCTGTTTGCAGTTGTTCTCTTCTGATCTGTGTGTTATGCACACGGGGAACAAACAGGAGTTTTAAATGATTCAATACTGATTAACGTTTAGAAATAACCCTTATGTCTTAAAGTCTTAATTGAAAATAATTATTATTGACAGCATGAGCTAATGGTGATCTTCTAAAAAGCAAAGTGTCAGAGTTCAAACTCGATGAGCAGCTTTTAYAATAGTGCCTGTTTTTACCTGCACATGTATGTTCTGTTGACACTGACTGAGCGGGCTCACAAGTTATCTTTGAACTGCTCCCTCTGCTTTGAGTTCTCACAGGTGAGTCGCCGGTACAGTGTGTTCAAAGTGCACGAAGGTCGTGCACACACGGCGACTGTGATGGGTTTGTGGGATCTTTCAAAAGCAGCTTAATGGCTAATCCTGTCTTGCAGCACACACACAAACACAGAAGGTCATCGCAGATGGAAACGTTGCTCGCTGTATGGTAGAATGTCAATACTATAATCTGATTGGTCTAGTTGATGGATAGGTGGTTTGGTTGACCTATCACAGTTAACTCAATTACTGCTCCCACATACTCACCTTTCACTCGTTCCGTCTGCCTCCTTTTCCCTCCCTCTCTGTCTCTTTAGTCTGGCTCCCTTCCTCTCACTTTCTCCTCTTCTTTCTCAGCCTCTCATCTTTTATCTCTCATTTCATTCCTGTCACTAACCAAATTAGTTGTGCCCCCCTTATGGATTTTCCCCTTTATAGGTCTGTATGAATGGAATGAAAGGAGGAAGGGGAGTGTGTGTCCATGTGTGTGTCAGGCTAAGCTGTTCCTACCAGATGTTTCTCTTTGTTTTATTCTTCCGAGCGCCACACTGTCTGCCTGTCACCGGCAGATACGCAGCTCGGGCGCATGGATCTGTGTTTGTTTGAGAGGGGGAGAGTGATGGAGAGCTTTTGTGAGAGGGAGAGTGTGTTTGTGTGTGTTTGTGTGTGTGTAGGAGTGTGTGTCTTTTGAGATTAATTACACTCACATTAATAAACTCTGTGGTGGAGTGTCTGCAGGACATACGATGAATTTAAAAATAAGCATTCTACAGATTTGGAAATTGATACACTCCACAATGATAGATAAAGAAGGTCAATGACTGGAAGGAACATTTTCATTTGTATCTTTAAAATGGCAAAAAAAAAAAACAAGTTTAAAACTTTCACTTTTAATCTCATTGCCTTTTGAAGAGTTCAGTCAAGTTCTTCAAAATATCAGATCATATGAGATTTACAACACAAAATAAGCCTGAACTGTCTATTACATTTTACATTTGTAATCTGATGTTACTTTTTGTTTATTTCTGTGTTCTTTAAATTTTCTAAAACTTGACATTCAATATTAATTGAACAGTGAGGATCTTTGTAACTTCTGGTGCTCCCTTTAAATTTATTTAGGACTTAATTTTATTAGCTGGAGTTCCTTTCTCGTTATCTTTCCAACTGTCCTGCGAGGTGGACGACTGGACCCAGACAATCCAAAAACAGATACAAGTGCAAACATGGAGCTGCACCTAAAGACAACCAGCAAACACGGAACAGAGTAACTAACCAGGCGTTGAGAATAATAAAGAGTAGAGATAATGTGGAGGGTAACTGTTGAATAAAACAGGTGAGTTAGTTATATATAAAAGCAAAATTAGGTCAAAAATTGGCACAATTATCCTGCCGGGTGAAACTGACATAGTGTTAATATGTTGACACTGGCTTTAAAAATATGCAGTTTGATCTGTAAATTAATATATTTAATTAAACTTCACTGAAAATTAATAAAGCAAAAACTTGGATAATTTTCTGGTAAGCAATCAGATCTGTTTGGTCTAAATTTCAGCTTCTTTGGTTTTTGCCAGCTCTGTCAACTCTTGAAGCTGTTATGGTAAACTTGGACACACTCCATGTTACTCCAGGTTCGGGTCCAGCTGATCCTCCTTGGGGGGGGGAAAGGCTAAAGTCTGGAGGGACCAGACTGGCCTTTTGTCCCAAACCTCTGGCCCTGTACACATGAAGGGTCCATGGGAAAACAGTGAGGCAGAGATGAATTGGCAGATGGATTGATGCAGCTAAATATGTTTTTTTTAATATAAGCTATTTTTTGCTTAATATACTTCTGAATTTGGTGAATTATTATGGACAAAACTGCGAAAGATTTGTGTATTTCCTCAATGTCATTTTTGTTCTAAGCCAATAAAGATATGACAAATGATTACGTTGATGATAAATTGTTGTCAAATAATCAGAAAGTTTAAGGATCCGTTTTAAGCCACTTCAGGACATTTCCCAGGACCCCAGGCAGAAGGTCGTCGCTATAACAATTTCTGCAGAGCCCAGTGATGGACGTGCTGCCTGTGGACATCTGTGTGTTTTTTTCTGAGCATCAGACAGCGGCCTTGAGGGACCGGAAGCTAGATTCACCAATTAAATAATCAAAAAAGCTTTGATTGTGTACACGATTACAAGTTACACATAAATAATCAAACACACACACATGGACACACAAGCTAAAATCTTGGAAAACGGCTACAGAACATCCTGTTCAGGCAGTAAAAGTCAAATGAGTTGCAGCGTAACTGGCCAGCACTGCAAGTCTTCACAACTTATGTACTCAGTCGTAATTTTATGTAGGAGTAAAGAAGGGAAAAAAATGTGTGTTTATATAATTTCTAATGTGCACTTAAACAACTTTAACAGCACTGATTTTCTTATTTAACTCATGTCCTCACTTTACGCTCAGTCTTCCATTGATCTCATCTGTTTCTTGTCTTTACTTTTCCTGCTTTCGACCTGAGAAGCTGCTGTTTTAATAAATAAATAAATGGACCTGTCATTTATTCAGTTTTTTCCTTTTTTTTTTCTTTGTTGTGTGTCCACAGGAGCGTGTGGAGTATCTGTTCCTAATCATTTTTACAGTGGAGGCGTTCCTCAAGGTAATAGCTTACGGCCTGCTCTTCCACCCCAATGCCTACCTGAGAAACGGCTGGAATCTGCTCGACTTCATCATCGTAGTTGTAGGGTGAGTGTTTGTGTCATAATGTAACAAGTTTATGCAATAAAAAAACACAATTCAGCCGTTAATTGTACAACTATTGTACGCTTCTTCTTTTTTTTCATCAGTAAAGCTTCTTTTTGTTTGCTGGGACTGCATTAGAGCCACAGTAAACTTTGGCCTGCAGAGCAGCCGTGAAGCTTAAACTGATTAGTTTGTGAGATGCTGATAGCAAAGCCCTGCTTTGTTTTGCTTTATCTGCAACTCCGCAACGTAGCCTATCTGCTAAACCCACACACACTTTTTGTTTCAGTGTGTTTTCATCTGCTTGTACCCATGTGCCTTCACACCATTTGTTGGGGTAATGGCACCGTCARTGGGCCCTGACAATTACCGTATTTATTCAAGTATAATACATAAAATTAAATCCATAAAATCATCCATAAAGTTGGGGGGTAGTACTATACTCGGATAAATATTTTAC